CTAACTTTCTTCTTCAGTCTTCTGTAGACTTATCAATGGTAATTTTTGTGTCATTAGAGGGCGTCGCGGTGCCCGACGTCTTTCAAGGACGTCAATTTCACCGCAGACTAGGAACCGTTTGAATATGGGACTTTCATAATCGGGACGGCGCTTAAAGCCGTTATATTTAGCGTACGCGAGCCTCGAGGTTTCTTTGAAAATGAATTTTGAGAAGAGACGCTGACCTCGAAATGTAGCTGAAGTGAACAGGAGACCTGGGAACCCATACGACAGGATTCTGGCAAAGAGACGCCAAGCGTCACTGCAACCGGTGTTGGGGAAATTAGAGATAAGTGTCGGGATTACAACAAATCTCGATGCAGCGGACGCCTGTCCAACCTTTTTTTTTTTTCTGCGTGCATCTTTGTCAAAATTTGGTCTGTATGCGGGCTACATGTAGTTCAATACAGAAACTATGGAATGTAATTATAGATATACGTATATATAAAATCTAAAACTTCTTGACGAGTCCCGTTTTATATTTACTAGACGATGGATAATATCCAAGAAAATTTTTATTTAATTATACGTATATATACTTTACCGGCGTATATTTTTTACACATTATACGCAATAAAATATACTGATAATAATGTTAAAAATTTGTAAATAATGCAATTCACAACCTAGACTAGGGTGTTTTTATATTTAGAACAGTTTTACAAAATTAATTCTTTATGTAACGTAAGCCACCATAAATATAAAAGGTCATAACTTTTTAAAAATATTAACCAATAAATTTTAATTTGGGTGTGATCTTTTGCACAATAAGACCTACTGTGAGACCGGAAATGAAAATATCAGAAAGGAGCCGCTGCTGGTGCCCGCTCACCTGCAAGTAGTTAACTAGCAAACATCTCCGTAAAAAATACACGTCGGCCATCGTCGGCAAAGTTAATTTATTTCCAGCGGCTAACAAAAAGAATTTATGATAGGGTCACTTGGGAATATGGAACTGGTTGTAAGTTGTCTCTCAAAGTTTACCAGGAAACGGGTGGAATTATTTTTATTTCAAATGTCTCCGCGGGCAAGATGTTGCCCGCGAGCTACAGGTTGGGCGAGCCTGTTATATAACATGGCGTAATTCTTCTGCGTGGTCGTCTCCAGACTGAAGATGTTGCATCCGTAAACGAAAGGCGATAAATCGCTTCACAGCGAGAGCTTTCAATTAATCAATTACTCACCTTCTACATCAATGAATTGCAAAGTTGGCGGGTCGAGGGCAGTGACCTTGGCGGAGTGTGGAGTGGTCAGTCGCTTAACTAATGATGTTGGCTTCACCAGACGAGGCTCACGAAGCGTTTGTGGAATATTTTAATCTGATAATTTGGAGGGAAAACCTGATAGTTCCTCAACTCAGAAAGTACGTCTGGCCCTCCCAAGAGAGCCGGGTGTCTTGATTATGGTTTTACGTGGTTTTCATCAGGCATAGGCTAATGACCGAATAGTTACGCCGTCTGTGTCCTTTTTGAGTGTATAGGAATGTAAATAATGTCTGAAGTAGAAAAGTCTCCGTTAAACGATTTAAGAACGAGCCGCGTTGAATCGCTCAAGTGTTTGATTAGTTGCGGACTTATACAAGCCGTGCTGATCTGATGGGAACTTGACGAAGTCTGTCGACTTTTCTGTCAAGTCGTGACGTCCTTGAGCGGTACGAGGACTGAAGGGAAGGAAAACTCCTTTGACTGGTAGATTGACCCAGGGTCAAATCATCACGCACTTGTGAAACGAAGGAGCTGGCATCGTTTCACATTAGGATATTAACATTGTTCACCATTCTTCGACCTATTTCCAAGTCACTTAGTGGAGTGGTGTTCCTCGAGGCTGTGATCTGTGCGGGCCACCGAATGGTGGATTGTGGTATCTAGGATTTTGGGACATGTATTGTGATAGAACTTGGTGAGATTCTCACAGCGACGTGTATGAACGTTGCTGTCTTTATGGATACTGCCACCTGTAGTGATCTTCGCCGTGATGGTGGAGGCAGTAAGGTCCTCCGAAACGTCTGTCAGTATCTACCAGCGTGGTATCCGAGAATACAGTAATCAGGATAGGAGTCGCTGAGGGCTTTTGTGTTTACTTTATGGCTTTGATAGCGCAACAGAGTTGTGGCTGCACTGTGCACGCCCCGATGTTAATCTACTCTGTACAAAGCATTGCTTCGCTCGCAGAGCCATGAATAGCTTGTTAAGGCGACTGGACCGCCTCCTTGTTCAGATGACAGCCCTGTAATCACCCGTCTTCCAGCAAATGAGGGACTGAGTCTTGTTTCTAATCACTCTGAAGCTTTCTCTGAACAGGATCATCTTTGACGAATTTCTCATGTTACCCTGCACAGATTTAAAGTGGTATTTACATGGGTTGGTACTTGCATCGTCGATCTCTGCTTCAAGTGCAGACCGACTCTTTGAACGTAATCCGTTCATCTTTAACATAAGAACGTGACACGTGATCAACATTTTTAATACACACGTTCCCTTAGTCAGTGAATTTTCAAGGTTTTCCTCTGTTCCTCTAAACATGTAGAAATGCTAGGACAATTCATCAGTGATCCGATCTCAAGAAGCGGGTATGGATCATCACGCCAACAACACGAAGGCGAAAATCTCGAAAACGGAAGAGAGGGATTTTTTCTTGAGCCCCGGAATGTAAATAATGCAAACACGGAGATGCTGTGCTGTGAAAGGCTAGGTTAGCGACTAGTAAGTCGAGTGTCAGGATCGCGTGTGTGCATTTGACACAGAAATGCTGTTTTCTGTTTATTTTGCAAGCTTTCACCGTGAAAAACGAATGAGACAAGCGGAGATAAAAATTGGTAGGTCATCGTCCATGAAGCCGTGAGGCACCCAGAGCTATAGAAGGGACGTGATTGGTCCTGTGGCTGCGC